GTGGGTACCTGACAGAGGCTTCGGTTTCAAGTCGGGAACCAAACGAGCCATCCTCCCGAAACCTCGTCCGGACTGCGAAGTTGCTACCAGGCGTGAGATTAGGGTGTTGGTCGTCCCAACGATACGACAAACGGAGCTGTAGTCATGTGTACTATTGACGACACTCGAACGAGAATTCTGTTAGATTCTGGGGCTAATGTCAGCGTACTATCGGCAGCATATGCTAAACGGCTGCGCTTACGTGAAGTGTCCGATAATTGCCGAAGCTTGGAAGTACGAGGAATCAACCCTAGGGTGCTGGAGACCCGAAGGCGAACACTCGTTAAGATTACCCTTGGATGGGAGCGAGTGTATGAGTTCGAAATGTGGATTATGGACCATAGCAAAGGCGTTGACGTGGTGCTTGGAACGAACTTCATGATCCCCACAGGTGTAAGGTTGGACCTGTTCTATGGTACTGCCAGACTACCGGACGAAGTTACAGTGCCGCTGGTAAAGTCGGCTGGTGCCGCGGATGGCGAACCGTATGGAGCCCAGGTCGTCGGTGGGCCGACCGAGGACTTGTACGTCCCTCGAGATGAGTGACGAGAGTTCCGACTGCCTCGGAAGAGAGCCTCACGTGCGACACACGAGTTATGGATACGAAGGGCCTGACAAATGGTACCGACGGTGATGGAATCCCACAGGGGCAAACCTGTGTGGGTCCGCTTGATGAACGTGTCAGATGGGACAGTTCGGTGCTACAAACACTCCTCCGTGGTATTATGGATTACATATCAGTCAGCCAGTAAATCATTCACCAAAAGCATGGCATATTCCATAATGGTCGTAACAGCATTCACTCGTTTGTAGTCGATGCACAGCCGGATGTCAACCCCGTTCTTTTTCAGCACTATCACAATGAGCGATGGTCATGGACTATCTGAGAACGTGATCAATCCAGCTCGTAATAGTCCTTTCATCAACTCGTACAGCTTTTCCAGCACTCGCAGTGGTGTTCGCCATGCACTTTGTTTGATCGGCATGTGCCCCTGCACGTCAATGCCAGGGGTGGTAGTGCATTACCACTAGCAATCATAATCCCTTCGTGACGCTTCAACACTTCAACGAGTTTTCATTGTTCGTTTTCGCTCAGACTCTTATTCGTGACGTTCGGTCCAGTGTAGTCCAGCATCGTCGACGAGGGCTCTGCCAAGACAGGCAAAAGGCTAACACGTCAGCGTAGTCAGTTAGTTCCATCTCGTTCGGAATGTTCTCGTACAAATCGTCGTCAGCACCCCTGTTACTGGAAGCCATTTCAGCTTCGATCTCTTGCATCACTGAGATGTAGGTCGATTCTAGCATGTAGACCGAGTCCTCGGCCGGGTTTATTTCGTCATTCCCAGCGTTTGAAAACTCTGTTGGTCTCGTATCAGGTTTCCCATCAACCTCCTCGTCGAGCCCTGCAACGACCGAGGCTTCGCTGTCCTCATAGGTTTTGACGCTGTAGCGGTAGTTCACGCCATCACCCCAGTCATCCGTCCCTGGACGATCCAGCATTAACTCTTCTGGGTGCCACCGAGTCCTCGGACAGTCTCACTAAAATGCGTGCAGGCGTCGTGTACTCCTTTCGTTCTACCACCGGTTGTTGTTCCGTAAACCAGCACTCGTAGAGCTCTTTCTCCTCCTGCAGAAGGACCTCGTCTCGCCACTCGACGTACGCAAGTACTTGCCATTCGTTATACTTGATCGAATCGAGCCTGACATACCCCACCGCGCATGAGAGTTTACCTCTGAGCTGGCGGGCCGCACTATTCATGTGTATACGCGGTTTTCAACACTGGAATGGATACGCACATCCAAATCAGGACGACCCAATTCGCCGTAATGCTGTCACCGTGACACTTGGTTGTTAACCGAGTCAAGGAAAAGGATTGTGCCTTTGCACGGCGACTACAAGCGGGGTTTACGAGTTTTGTGGATTTGGAGGACTCGTTGGCGACGGTTACACAACCCATGAAAGGAAAGTCTACCGTCCGCATGGATCCTCAGTTGCTATACGCCCGTCTACCGAAATCCTACTGTGGGCTCGTAGTCTCGTTTGATGGATCAGCCAAAACCGAGAAATACGGTGGCTATGGTAGTTGCTCATGGATTGTATGGCGACTACCCGACTGGACAATAGTCACCGCTACGAGTGTTTATCTCGAAGCAAGAACAGGGAACTTAGCCGGGTACTCTGGCATGAGCAATGGGGTACAGACAGCACTGGACATTGGTGCAATCGACCTTGTGATTCGAGACTGGCAATCCAGCAGTCACTATGGGTGATTGCGTATAAGAAGGAGTCGCTGATGACACAACTCAACCGCCACCGAGAACTCGTTGCACGACTGAAGTCAGTCAAGTACCTACACGCTGTACGAGAGTACAATGCGGCGGCCGACTCGTTAGCAACGGACGCATTGGAAAACAAGGCGTCAAGCGTTATATCCGCCGAACCTAGGCTAGCAGAGTTGAAGTCACTGAACCGCATCCAAGAGGTCATCTATGCACCCATCACCGAGTCCTCGGTGGATAAACCCTCGGTCCGCATCGCACAATCCCAAGTTCAAACGCGACATTTGCGACACACAAACCGTCCCATCGATCCAGAACCGCCCTGGAGCCGCGTCAAAATTTCTTCGATTTTGTGCGAGAGGACCAGATGGGGATAGGGGCCCTAACGGTAACGACAAGGCTCCAAGCTAAATCGAAGCACAAACGTGTCAGATTCCCCGACGAAACCTTGGTGACAGATGAAGAAGATGCAACGCAACGAGAAGAAACCAACGTTGTGCCAACAGAGGGTTCATCCCAGAGTTATCAAGGGCAACGGTACCCAACCGTGATACTCCCATGTCGCCTGACGCAGGAGACGGGGATCCACTAACGGTCCAAAGAGAACGTCGAAGAAGGATTGCGACCGTTCTGGACGAGGAGTTGCGATGGGCGAATTTGAAGACAGTTCTCCGGGGGGATGGATCAACCCTAATGTACCGTGCAGCGAGAGACGCGTGGAAAATGTACGATCGCTTCGTCCTAAGCGAAGACAATGTGATTTACTATGTGGGAACGAGGCCTCTGAGAAGAAACCAACAGCAAGAAGAGACGATGCTGCGTCTAGTAGTACCATCAACGTTGATCCAGAAGGTACTACAGAACTGTCACGACTCGTTAGAAGGAGGTCATCAAGGGATCGCTCGGACTTTCTACAGAGTGGAGTTGGATTATTACTGGATCGGTCTATACGCGGACGTAGCGAGGCACGTGCGGTCCTGTCCCGACTGTAGCTCAAGCAAAAGTCAACCTAAGATCCGCGGATACTCTCCGGGGAACATACTAGCGGAACGACCGTTTCAGGTTGTTTCGATGGATTTTGTAATACCCTTACCGAAGTCTCGGCGGAGTAACACAGCGCTCCTACTATTCCAATGCGCATTCACGGGGGTACGTGATGGGCAAAGCTATGGCAGACACAACTGCTCTGAGAGTAGCCCAAACTTTTGGAGAATGCGTGTACCGGAGATTCGGTGAACCCTCTCTCATCAGACATGACAGGGACCCTCGATTCATGAGCGAGGTGTTCCAATCGTTCACCGAAATGATGCAATAGAGGTCTAGGCAACGTTGAGTTACAGGCTCCAAGCTAACGGCCAAAACGAGCGCTCAGTCAAGACCGCCATACAATCGGTGCGTGTGTACGCGGAAGGCCAACTGCAACAGGACTGGGACGAGATCGCCGAAAAGCTGATCGTTGCGATCAACAACTCGATGGACGCAACGAGGAAAGAGACACCCTTTTTCCTCGTCCATGGGTGGAATGCTCAGTTTACGCTCAAGGTGATGCCCTCATTCGAGGACTCGGTCGACAGTCAGACGCACTGGTGTGGCGTCGAGAAGTGAATCGCCAACAAGAAATAGCGTTGGAAATGGCCAAGGAATACCAGACCACCGAGAAAGCTCGGAGAGCAAGGAAGCACAATGAAACTCTCCGTGGTCGAGAAAGAGGTATGGCCCCAGAAACAGGCCAAACCGTTATGTCAAGAGACGAACAACCTGTGACAGGGGCGGTGACCGAGGACTCGGACGATGATGCAACGAGGTCTCTGTTCGAGGTCGGGAGCCGTGTATGGCTGTATATGGAACGAGTGAAGCCAGGACTGACAAAACAGCTTGCACACCATTGGCATGGACCGTTTAGGGTCAAAAAGAAAATGATCGCCTATGAGCTCGAACTCCCTGACCGGAGTGGGTACAGATTTTACCCGGTTGTGCATGTGTCACGCTTAAAGATAGTAGACGAATTTGGAGATCGACCGAGTGCTCGTTTGACACAGGACGTGAACCAGGCTACACGATTGGATTTTGACGAAGAATTGCTCCGAAAGGATAGCTGGGAACCAGACCATGTCGCGGGTGAATTTGAAGTCGAGGCAATACTGGATGAGAGGACCACTCTGTCCACTAGCACAGAACGAGTCGTCAGAGAATTCGAGGTGAAGTGGGTCGGCTATGATGACCCGACGTGGGAGCCTGCATCCAATCTCTCCTGCGGTGGTCTATTATACGACTATCTCCGAGAGAAACATCGTGACCGAAGGTTGCAAATGGTCCAAGGCGCTGACGAGGATTAGATGCGACTGATGAATGATCTGTCTGTGGGGTTAAGTGCAGCCCACAACAACAGACGGAAGAAGTTACTGCACTGGAGTGCATATTGCATGTTTGTATATGATGTGAACGAATTTTCGAAGTGGAAAATGGAGATTTCGAGATTACTTATAATTACCACTAGATTAATTACTTAAGAGCTGAACTACTCCGACGCTAACCGCTTGCTGGTCGCGATCTGGACTAGCATTTCGAACGGAGCGAGTACTATGTTAGATGGAGGCTCCTTGGTATCGTGAGCAGGAACCTCAACATCAGTAGGAGTGGCCGAGCTCTCGGTCGCTACACTGTCAGGCCCCGAAGTTGTTGTAACAACAGGGGCAAATGAGAACGAGTCCTCGTGAAGAGCCTCAGCCGTCTCAACAGGGGTTGGTGGAGCGTTGTCAGCGCCGACTGAGCTCTCTACAGCAATTCCAGCAGACGAACTTTCGGTGACCCCAGCAGCAGTAGAAACCTTGTTGATCCAAGGAGCTACGAGATCAGTGTCGGCCAGAGACTGATCCACGACGATGCCAGAAATGACAGCCTACTGAGCCATCAAAGTCGGCACGAAAAGTGGAGCGCCGGGATTGCAGGGGGCATACGTAATGTTGTAGGGGTAGCATCAATCCAGCAGTTTCTCCAAGGCCGCTCTTGACCCAACACCCGCAACTCCCGGAACCAATCCTTGGTAGCTGGAGCCCATTCCAGCACTTCCGTTGAATATTGGAGGTAGCTGGGCTCCAGCAAGACCTCTGTGGGCAGAGTGTGAGTGCGACCTCCAGCGCTCGTACACCACTCCCACAGCCGATCAATCCGATGACACAGAAGATCAGCGCAGTCGTTCCGCATCCGATTGAGGTGGTGCCACAAACCAATGTTCACGTGAGTAAACGGATCCAAAGGGTCTGAATCCTGCTTGAACTTGCGGATGGCATTATCCAAGGCCGACACTTGGAGCCAATACCGGTGCTCCCACAACTCGACACAGCGCTCGTTGTCCTCGTAGCAGTGCCCGATAATCGACGCCACATTCGGACGCGTCCACCGTGACCTGATGCACGAATAGAATCCGCACGCCTTGGAGGAGCTTTCCCAATTCAAATGTCAAAGGCTCGTCTGGCATGCGGTCGAAATGCACTCGCCACGGATGTCTTGCACTGTGGATGTTGTACATGAGCGCAAGGAACGCGAAGTCAAGCGGTGACATATGATTCTTAGAGGCCGACTCAGAGAGGCTCACATTGAGCATCTGACACCAGGCCTTTTGAGCCCCAACAGCGGTGAAACCAGACTCGAAAAACCGCTCCGCGGTGGCCGTGAGCTTCCTGAAATTCGCCGCCCTGGACACCACTGTAGCCGCTGGAGTGAAGGCCGAGGTGTCCGTACCCCGTCGAGCCATCACTGTAGCAGTAACTACGTGAGTTTGACGTCGATGTCGAGGCCACCTTGCGTCCCGATGGCATATCCATGGCGAGAAGTAGGAGCAGGCTGGATAGGAATACCCGCAGCATGCTACGAGCTCTCGTTCTCGCTGGAACGACCGTAATTTTGACTGAGACTTCAGACCCAGGGGCAGACGACACAGGTGCGACCGGAGCTCCCGTACCGGTCACATGTGAGCGGGTGTGCTTGGCGCTACAACACGGGGCGAGAAACCGAGGACTCGGTGCCGCCAACACTATCAATAGCTCGTCTCCGCATCCTTTGCAGGATTTGTCAGAGGCTTCCAGCTCCGCCAGATTGACGTCCACGTCGTTGAGGAGCTGGGAAATCGGCACCGCCGAACTCGATTTAGGCACGGTAAGCAAAGGCGGAGGGGAGTGAGTGGACCCCGAGCCAGACGCATCGCCGACAGTGGACTCGGAGATAGGAACCTCGTCTACAGGAGCTCCCGCCTCCACCGGAGCCTCTAGGACAGATACCTCCCCGGTAGGAGAATGATGACTATCGTCGGTGGAATGGTCAATCGAGTCCTCGGCGACAGCGTCCGTGGGAGACACAGGGCTATGCGAGCCCTTTTTGCTCTGTGTCGAATCCATATCGCCGGCGACCGAGTCCTCGGCAGTCAAGCCAAGCATGAAGTCGTCATCGGTCAATTCCTACTCGAGACTCTCTCTCATCCGTAGTTCGGACGCGACGGAGGAGCTGCGTCTCGGCCGGCCATCCTTACGAGGAAAGTAAGAGACGACCCGGGAAGAGAAAGGACTGGAGACCTTCTTTCAAGAAGGTTCCACCGCGTCGTCGGATGTTAAATCCAAGGCTTCGACGGGGAATTGTGACGGTGGAGCCAGACCAGCCGAGAAATTACCCGGCACTCCACTAGACTTGGTCCCCTCACCTTGAACAGGAGGCTGCAGAGACTTCCCTTCGTCAGCAAGAGGGCCAACGTCAAGATCAACTTCCATGCTACTATCAATGCCACCATCGTCGGGAACAGAGCCAGGAAATGAACGAAGTCTCTTTGGTGGTGAAGATGGACCAATTGAAGGTGTATCGGAGGGTCGGAGTCTCTTGAGACCTGACCGAGCTTTTGGATAGGCCACCACGGGCGACGTCATCCTTTTCAAATCCACAGACGGACGACCGAGCCTTCGTGAAGCAGGAAGTCTGGAAGGCGCCGACGGAGATTGCTGCTTCGGCGCGTATTGTCGAAGCCGGCGGCGCTTACGGGCCGGCACGTCAGATGGAGGGTCGTCAAACAACCCCCATCGCTCTGACCACCACGAGAAGACTCAGCGGACGGCCTAATAGGAGCCTCGTCCAAAGGCCTAATGAACGGGTTCTCGGCCGACTCTTCGGTGGGCGTGCCAGAGACAGGAGGCGTCGTTGACGATACCAACGATACCTCGGTGGCAGGAGAAGCAGACTCGCCATCGACAGAGTCCAGGGAAGAAGAACTCGGTGGCATGAGCTGTAGGAGTCCTGTGTGGTCCGGACCCAGACCCAATAGCTCCCAGTTCAGACCAGATGCAGAAAACCCAGCCGTCGACAGTATCAACGTGCCGGTGTTGAGCCCATTCTCGGCCGAGTTTTGCCGGAGAGCGGAGTTAGCACGACGAAGACTGGCATTCTCGGCCAGCAGAGCTTTCACCCGCGGCGATGGAGAGCAGACCTTCCCTCGATCGTGCTTCTCCAAGTACTGCGACCTTCCCTCGATCGTGCTTCTCCAAGTACTGCTTGAGTTTCGCAAGCTCGGCATTGTACACCGTGAACCCAGCCTTCATGCACTCACGGTCTTGGCTGGCATAGCCCGTTGCTGCGGCACAGTCCGCGTCGGAGGAACGGTAGCGGTCTTTCAACCTTTGAACGCCGTGAGCCTGTTCCGCAACTGAAATATCGAGCTCACGAATGCGAGTAACCAATTCCTCGTTTTCCGTACGGAGATCTTGATTAGCGTCATGGATCGTGTAGAAATTCTCGGTGGACCGAACACTGTCTGTCTCTGCCCCTGTACGAAGCTGTACTTCGTTAGCGAGGCCTCGTTCGGCGTCCTCGCACCGGGTTTGGGAGCGAGCGACCTCGTTTCTCAAGCGCACCAACTCGTCAGCCTCCTGAGGAGGGAGCCGATGAGCGGCCACAGCAGCCGCCAAAACCTCTTGGACAGTCGAAGCACTATCCAAGTGCTGGTCCAAATAGGAATTGACACGGGCCGGAGGCTGCCGGGCCATACCCACCATAGTTCACACACGGAAATAAACAAAGGCTCGGTGGCCCTCCACGGAATGCAACCGAACCACCTGACGACGTTCCGCACCAACCCGACACCCCGCGAGTTGCCGAATCCACCGCCGGCGCGGGAGTTGGTGTGAATGGGAGGGAGACACTCGCCGGGGGAGTCTCTAGCCCAGGTGTTGCTAGAAGACTATCCTGCGGCTGAGAACCCTCGGACGCCCCGCCATCTAACTCAGGTGCGGGAGTTGGCGACCGAAGGCTCTCAACCGAGGCCTCGGGAGATGGAGAGGAAGCACCTGTCGACCCTGAGTCCTCGGACATCCCGCTATCCGGTGAGGATACGGGAGTTGGTGACCGAGAACCCTCGGTCGAGGCTTCATAAAGCGAGGAAGACGACGCAAGAGGTGGAGGATGAAGCTGATGGACAGGCAACAATGATATGGAACACCAGTACCATCGAAGACGAGATACTGGTAGACCAAGGGGTGGCCACGTACCAGATCATCCTCATGAAGGGCGCGGGTTGCCGTAGCCGAGGCATCGACCAGGGTACGCGAGGCAGGAGACATGGCGTTGTC